TCATCCTGCAGCTAAATCTTCTCCACGATCATTGCCATGAAAATTAAGCTCTCTGCTGTGGAATCCTAGGCTTGATCAAAGCTATATCATTTTATAAACCATTACAAAATGATTTTCAATAAGTTTTGCAAATATGCCTACCACCAGAGATCCATAATGGGGGGGATTTGGGGATGAGCTGCTGGAGAGGAGATCTGCAGAGAGGGACCTGGGCGTCCTGGTGGATGACAGGTTGGCCATGAGCCAGCAGTGTGCCCTCGTGGCCAAATAGGCCAATGGCATCTGGGGTGCAGTAAAAAGAGCGTGGCCAGCAAGTTAAGGGAGGTGATCCTCCCCCTCTAATCTGCCCTGGTAAGGCCTCATCTGGAGTGCTGTGTCCAGTACAAAAAAGACAGGGACCTCTTGGAAAGAGTCCAGTGGAGGGCCACAAAGATGGTGGCACAAACCAGCACAAAGAAGGGCCTGGAGCATCTCTTCTATGAAGAAAGGCTGAGTGAACTGGGTCTATTTAACCTTGAGAAAAGAAGACTGAGAAAGGATCTAATCCAGGTTTATAAATATCTGAGGTGTGGGGGCCATAGCGGTGAGGCCAGACTCTTTTCAGGGTTGAGTGGAGACAGGACAAGGGGAAACGGCCGGAAACTGCAGCATAGGAAGTTCTGCACAAATATGCGCAAGAACTTCTTTACAGTGAGGTGACGGAGCACTGGAACAGGCTGCCCAGGGAGGTGGTGGAGTCTCCTTCTCTGGAGATGTTCAAGGCCTGCCTGGATGCCTACCTGTGCAACCTGGTGTAGGGAACCTGCTTTGGCAGGGGGATTGGACTCGATGATCTCTGGAGGTCCCTTCCAACCCCTACAATTCTGTGAATTTTGATGACAGAAAAATTAAACTTTTTTCATAGAATCATAGAATCATAGAATCACCAAGGTTGGAAAAGACCTAAAAGATCATCCAGTCCAACCGTTCACCTATTCCCAATAGCTCCTACTAAACCATTTCCTGCAAGAGTAAGCAGTAAAAACAAGTCTTTCACTCAGTATTTCAGATCCATTTAGGTGCTGTATTTGGACATGTAAACTCAACACCAGAAGCACAGGGCTTGTGCCTTTTCCTCATGAATTCCAGATTTTCGTGTGTACCAATAAAAACATGGACTGGAAGAATATGCAACTACAGAATCAACAAGTGATCATTCTCTAAGAGGTGTTCCAGCACCACACCACCCTCTGAGCAAAACGTTTCTTCCTTAATTGCTTCTCAACTTTAATGGTACTTTTTCCCTCGTCAAAGATTACTTTTAAGTAAAGAACTCCTCAGCTTTTAAGTAGTTGGCATACACACACAAGTGGAAGTTACACATCAACAGATAAGAACCAGAGCAACCCAATGCAAATTTTTTCCACAGCATTGTTTGTCTTCCAGTTCAGCCCTTCCCTTTAACAGCACAACACATTAAGAGGGCTGTGTGGTACCACAGGATGGTTGATCTCTTGTCTGCTGCAGACATCAGGTGCAAGTGTAAATAAGGATTATACAAATGGGAGGTCATTAAAAGTCTGGTAATGCTAATTTGGCATGACAACCTTAATGGGTTATATCTTCATACTTCAGTTATCTAATCACCTAAATTCTTTTAACAAATTTACATTTAATCATACAAATGGAAATTCAAATTGACTTGTTTAATTCTCCACCCAAACTGCACCCATCCTCAGTTCATCTAATATATTAAATATCACCATCCATTTTGGGATCAATTCCATGCACATACATACACTCAAAGATATTGCATTTGTGCCTGGCATACAAAACCTCCTGTGTCTAAATATCATTTTTCACAAATGTTTCAGATCTCATGAGATCCACAACCGCATGCACGTATTATCAGCAACAGTATGTGAACTTGAAATGCACCTTGTTGGTAGGATACTTCCATTTTCCCAAGAGAAGTGAAGGAAAAGAAAGTGATTTTTAAATCAATAATCTTAACGATTCTATGATTCTATGTGATGTTTCAATCAATGTAGATGACCAGGAGGTTTTACAGTTTTTTCTGAGAAGCTGTTCACTTTTTCTGGCTTGTTCAGGTAAAATAGCACAAGAAAAATGCTTTAAATTGTTCACATCTTCTCCCTAGCACTGAGAATTTATTTTGCATGGAAGATTCGGTGCTGCAATTCAGGCTGCTGTCTTAGCTCAGAATCCTCATGAACTAAAACATGAACAAACAACATATAGCAAAAAAACCAACTGGACTACACGACGATAAATCTAAAGTAACCCCTACGGTAACTACACTCACACAGGGAAAAAAAGAGCCACATTAATTAGATATGCAGCTATCTAACATAACCAGCTCTCCATGATAACACACTATACTTAATACATTCTTGTGTATTTTGGTAATGCACTTTTCTAAACAACAACAACAACAAAAAACTAGCCAAAGGGATGCTTACTTTGTTTTCACTTGTGGAAAATGCATGCAAAAGTCAATTTTTACACAGCTATCAACTGTACTCATGCAGACCTGAAGTAATTGCATAAGAGTCATTTTGTTTATGCAGTAGCTATATACTGGCTCCTGAAATAGATTTTGAACTAGTAACTGATGAGTTGGACAAATACATGCATAGAACTGCCTGGATAGATACTCCTTCCTGAACTGGGAGCTTAGGTAATAACTTTTGATGACAGCAAGAAAACCTGAACACCTTCAGAAATACCAGGAATGATTCGTTTCGTTCAAAATGCCATTTTCAACAAATATCTGATAAAGAACAACCAACATAACAGCAAGCATACGAAATGTGAGATAGGTAACATTTTCTGATTGGTTTCCTCACTGTAAGATGCATTCCTATCAGCAGTAGTTTAAAACAGGCCAGGTTGGATGGGGCCCTGGGCAGCCTGTTCTAGTATTAAATGTGGAGGTTGGTGGCCCTGCCTGCAAGTGGGGGGGGTTGGAACTTCATGATCCTTGAGGTCCCTTCCAGCCCAAGCCATTCTGTGATTCTATGATTCTATGAAATACAAATTGGGAATTATTTTAAAGCATTTTACAGACATTTAAAAAATATCCTGGGATAGCAGGAGTGCTAGTGTGAGGTGACTGGACACTAAGTTATAGTAGGCTTGTAATAACTAAACCCATTTACTCATTTATTATAATCACCAATGTTTTATGACTCTCCTTAATTATATGTACATAAGAAACTTCTCACAGCTATCTGGAAGGCTGCTAGCCCTTTCTTACATTATATTCTTTTTTGTTGTTGCTGCTGCCAGTTCCACTACTAGCAATAATCAGAACTTAGTGTTCACTGCATGACTAAGGCAGTTAGGATAGCCAATGTGTTGTTCAGTGTCTTCTCAAATAAGTGTATCTTGTTAGCATGAAGAAAAAAGAGAAGCTGCTCAGTTCTGTGTGTGTCTTACAGTCTCCACCACTGTCCTGCCATCACTTTCAATGAATACACTCAGCTCCACTCTCCAACCACAACGCTACCTCAATACACTCAGCTTCCTAGTACTCCATCTTTCCCAACTTTTGGTTGGACAAAGTACATGTCTGTAGATTGTGTCAAGCAACACCTATGCTAAGAGTCAAACCAAGCACATTGCAGCCATCTGCTCACCAGGGCCATACTTTAATCTCAGTCTTCTATATACAGTAGATATGTTGCATGCTTTTTAGAGGTACAGAGAAATGAAGATATACTCCTTTAGACCAAGCCCTTAGGTGGGGAAAACAGACAGGTGTGCAGACTGCACAGGCCTTATGTCCAAGGGTGCCAAGATGTCTTCATACATTAAATCAAGATATGTTAAAACAGACTGAGGCCCAATGTCACACCAAGAGACATCCGGAAGCTGACTGCAGCTACTACAGGTTATCATTACTGAGAATCTTTTGCTGTCTGTAACCAAATTTGGTAGCAGACAACAAAATGGTCACTTGAGACACACTGTCTTGGGTTTACATAGACACACACACCCTTGTTTCACCAAAAAGATGCATTTGACACATACAGAAGAGAGCTAGAGCCTGAATTTTATGATGTAAACTGCAGATAAGTAAAAATTAAGCATGTACAGGATTGAAAAAGGTAACACAACACCACCTTACACAACCACCTACAGAGAAATGTACAAGCAAGAAACTTACTCTAATGTCTAAGGTTTTTTAACTCCATTGTTTTGACAGCTACCCTCTCCTCTACAACAAACTGAAATCTCCTGAATCTTAAAACGCAAAACACTACACAGAGCTGCAAAGCTGCAGACACTTAATCAGTTAGACATACAAAGGACAAGGAGTAGTGCACAGAAACTAAATTGATATGAACTTTCCTCAGTTACCCCTCACTCAATTTCACAGAAACACATTACAAGTGTGTGTATATATAATCTTTAGAATGGATTAAAAGACTTACTTCATTTAAACAAAGCAGACAAGACCAAGATTATATTTTGTCTCCTGGTATGTGCTTAATGGCTAGAATTCTCTGCTCAAAGGCTAAGTTCCTTTTAATGTGATACCAATACCCAACAACAAGCCTAACTTCAGAGCTGTAAGTTGGCTACTCCATGGTAGGAAGCAGTCGTGCATCTCCAACTGACTTTCATGCTATTAATCGAGACAAAACTTTATCCCATCTCACCAGACTGTTACCAATATTTCTAATATTCAGTCCTTTACTTTGCAGTACATTCATTCCCCATGTTTAGGGTACACACAAATACACACAGTGCTGCTTCTGGCTCTAACTACACAGTGGAACAAAATTAGCTTCAAGTCTTAGTTGCTCTTGCTCCTGGAAAGTATTTATTTTTCTAGAGCCAACTGCTGCTCCCCTTTCGATGTAACGACTTCCTCATAGCCAGAGAGATTACCCACACCACTGATCACTTTATTACTTCATAATGGCTGTTTATTTACTTTAGTGCAGCAGTAACATGCAAGGGTAAAGCCTTTCACAGCTGGGCAAACTCACCATATTCCTTACGCAGGTGGTCTGGAATGTGGGGCTCATAACCTTCCTTCTCAGGGACCTCCACAAAGTCATCTTCATCATCATCTTCATCATCTGAAGCTTTCATCTATAGAGATAATTATTATTTTTTTAAAATGTAAAGACAGCTTCTCATTTCCCTTTACACTGCAAATATTTCACCATGATTGCCCTACTGAGGCTCTCTATGTCAAAAGCATTTTCCTAATTATGTATTTAGTCTTCATCTAAGATTAGAACTTTGGTTAACATTTTATCTTTTAAGCCACACTTTATCCTAGGGGCTTCTTTAAAGACTCTTTTATCCATTACAACAGATGCAGTTGCTGAAGCTTGAGAAAGTGTGGAATTATAAAATAAAACAAAAAAATCTTAGAATAACATATAGGCTTTGACTTAATGATCAAATTAAAGTCTTATCTCTTCTCCTTTGCTTGATTTTACTCATTCAGCTGCCCTCAAATAGCCCATGGCATGTTACCTAGTATCACAAGGGTTCATAAACAGAGCAGACAAATGGGACAGGAATCTGATGGACTGGACAGCTAATACTGACCGAAGTCAGAACATGCAGCTACATCTGTATGCTAGTGTTTAACTGGGTTGCTTTGCAGCAGCAGCACTAACAATGCTGACAGTACAAATTCATATGCACAAAAACTAGAAAAAAAATTTTAGAACATAATTGACAAGCTGAAACATAGAAATGGAGTTTCTACCAATTAACCAGGTCAATTAACACACGTAAGTGGCTTCCTACATTTCATTTCAGCCAGCTACTGCTATATATGGCCAAGCAAGCCTCTACAGTTTGTTCTAAGTTTGTTTCACACCTAAAAATGATTTATTTCTGCCATAGTACACAAAAGGTACAAGAATCTGTGAGACCTCAAACAAGGTCTGTACTATCAGAACTACACATATGAAATACAAGTGTTGCCTAAAAGGTACCAGTTAAAAGGTACCAGTGCTGAAGGCTTTGTCCACCTCTGGAGTCATCTAAATATAAACAACACCATGATTTGCACATTATCATATGCTTGCCATGCACTTTTATAAGTTGAGGATGCAATAAGGGAGTACTGACTAAAAGCAACCTTTTCACAGAGCTCTCTATCACTTTTTTCAACTTCACTGCAACAAGCCAAAGCTATAGATAAGGAATTGCATCATTTTTACTATTTTCAGCTATGTTTTTGCTTTCCTGCTATACCTGACTGCTGTTGATATTCATACCAACTACTCATTGAAAACACACAGGAGGATACCACAGGTTTTGCCTGCAGCAGAATTTTCCCAATTTAATTCACTACTCCAATCGTGTGTCACAGTTGAGTTCCTTTAAATCATACATATACTCTGAATCAAAAAAACTAGAAACCAATTTGATTTATTGAACATAGTTTAAAAATAAAAAAAGTCAGCACTTCTTCCATGTTACTTGCAAACTGGATTGAAGCTCATTTCTAATAAGCAAAATTAATTGCTATTAATATGCACTTCTAATGAAAAGATGGCACAAGGCTGAAGTATGATTCTTCCTTTTCTTTTTTTTAAAGACTTTGATCTAAGATCTGCAGTTCCAGATGGAATAAAAAAGACAAAAAAAAAAGATTTACTCTCTTGAAGAACAGAACACATTTACCAGACCACGCTGCCACACACAGAGAATACCTAAACAGTCTTTATTTTGAAATAAAGTCCTAGCACAACCATGTTTGAAAGAAGCCTGCTGCCAAAGACAAGCAGCACACCCACAACACAGCCCCATTGCCACTACCTCCCATTGGCAAAGAGCGACTTGCTGGGCTACGTGGAAGATCCCTACCTTACATCCTAGCTTACTTTAATCCCACTGCAATTGTTTCTTCTCATCTAAAGGAAAGATGCAATTCAGGCCCTACCTGGCATGGCCGAGACAGACTCATGCTGAATCTGATCTCCAGCAGAAATCAAAATAGAATTCTAATGCGAAAAAAATGAAGTCAAATATTCTACCACTGAAACTTGTGAAGGCTGAACATGAGAAAGAAGAGCAGCTGTGTTACACTGCAACTTTTAGAAAATCTTCCCAATGGTATTCAGAAAGGAAAACAACAAAGCTCTGTGTTCTGCACACCACGAGAGGGCTAAAGACTGACGGTAGTTTGCGTCTTGATTTTAAAATTCTACTTGTGTTGTTACCCCTTGTTATTTGCTAGGGGTAATTCAATGAAGCTTGTCAATAACACCCATTACTATTCCTCCAGCTAGAAACAGAGCAACATTTAATTTTCCATATGCAGGTTTCACTTCTCATTTAGCTATTAAAGAAGATCAAGCCAAGCCCAAACTTGCTATGGATGACCTTAGCCTGTTTGTTCCATAGCATAAAAGCAGAACAACATTCACTTTGCACTGTTATTTTCTCTGTTTTGCATTTCCATGGCTTTTACTTAGCATTCTGTATACACCTCAACAGCAACAAGTATAAGGAACCGAGAAATAACGATAAACTTGCAAAAGAAAACTCAGTTCAGACAGAACATTTAACTTAATAGACCTAAGGTAGAATACAAGCACTCATGTGCATGACAACCTGAGAGGACCAGAAAGAATCCACAAGAATTCCATCTGTAGCTGAAATTTCCTCTTTCTTTTTTCACGTGCTATTGGAGATGAATAGACCTCTGAACATAATATACTAACATGCAGAATGGTCTGCTAACCCTCAACTTGAAAACTGCATTGGAAGCAACTTTCCTGTATTACCTGCATGCTCTCAAACTTTAGAGCACGTGAACAGCCTGACGGAGAGAAGGCATAATCAGATGCAAATTCACTTTGTTTAGGTATAATCCATGAACTGTGCATTCGAGTACTATGGAAAACATTAATCATAGGAAACTGTAATTTTTGTTATCAGTCTAACACTAATCAAAAGGGAAACCTGTCACTGCCGCTGACCTGTGAAACGTCCCAATTATACTCTGCGGAAATGACAGGAGCACTTAACTTCCTCACTGAGTAAATGACGACGATCAATCAAGTTTGAATAACAATGAGCCACGGAGCTGAAAATTATTTTTTGTATAGAATCTACCCAGGAATTTATGAAAGGTGAAAAGCAACCCAAGGTTTTAGGGGCATTATGGCTTTCAGCTAGTGCACTGCATATCAAACACTAAACAGAATTTATGTGTTTTAATTTTCTAAAAGGTAGATGTGGACTTGGTGCTACAATGCATAACATATAATGCCAGATTTTAAATATGGGGGTCATTTTCATAAAATATTATGCTTATTGTTCACACCCTTGAATTTCACTGGGGTATCCTATTAAATTTAGATTTCCTGTAAAAAAAAAAACCAAAAAACGAAAAACAAAATTAACTGCTTAGCTAACTTTCAGGAATTAAGTCCCCTTTTTAATTCAAAGAGACATAAAATCTTTATTTTGATAACATCTTTAACAAGACAACTTATCTTTTTTGCTCTCAAATATAAAACATCACCAGTGGAGACTCAAGAAGTCACTCAGTGGCAGTGGCTAGTTCCATCTCAATTTATGGCACTCCAGCAGTACTTCAGAGCCATCCCACTGATACTGTTTTGTTCCATTCCCTTTACACAGAAAGGAGGAGAGCGTGTGGGAAACAGCATTGGTCAGAAATGTCTTTTTTTTTTCTCCTCCAATTCCACTTTTCAACCGTGAACAAAGTTCCACAGCAAACTCTACAGATGCTGTTTGAAAGTTCATCCACTTATTATCCATGTCCCCACTATAGATAAGCTTTTCAGGCAATTGCCATGAATTACCAACTATTAAAATACATATTTAAGACAATGTGTTTTTGTGACAGAATAAGTTAGAATCCTTTAGGAATGAGTAGTTAGACACTCACAAATGTGAAAAACAAGACTGATAAAAACAAACACTACACCATTTGTAGTGTTCTATACTGGAAGAAGTGTAAGGTATAAGCTCAAGTGATAAATACTTGATAAATACTAGAAGGCGAAGCTTTTCTTGCAGCATACAGAACTAAACAACTCCATGCAGCCATGCAACTAGCTGTTACTAAACAAGCTGTTAAGGAATGTGGGGGAAAATATCGTGTTCTCAAATCCATTTCAATTACCAGGTGACACAAAGGAAGTCCCTAGCTTAGTTGAGCAGCTTGGAAGAGAGAAGGTGAGCTAATGCTTTCCCTCTGGTGCTACAGGATGGTCTGCTGAAGGAAGACCAAACAGATTCCCACACATCAGCAGCTGCCTGCACATCTCCTGCTCACCAAGTCTGATGGGAAGATTTTCAGCTCAGTGTTGAACTGCTCTGCACCTACAGTGACAAAGCAGTAGTTTTCCTGAGTAGATACCTCACTGTGCAAGGAAACAGGATTTTGCTGGGCACTTTGCAAATCTGGGGCCTGAACTGATTTGAAAATGAGAACTTTAAATGAGAACAGTAAAATCACAGAATCACCCAGGTTGGAAGGGACCTCAAGGATCATGTAGTTCCAACCCCCCTGCCTAACAGGGCCACCAAACGTACACATTCAGATCAGGTTGCCCAGGACCCCGTCCAACCTGGCCTTGAACACGTCCAAGGACGGGGCATCCACAACCTCCCTGGGCAGCCCGTTCAGGGCCTAACCACTCTCCTTGTAAAGAAAAAAAACAAACAAAAAATGAAACATGGAAACCCATATATTATTTTCATTGCAACCAGTTAGCACGTTCCTCAATTCTCCAAATTTTCATTAAAAATTTAAAATAGTGGTGACCTCTCCAGCAAGACAAGCACAATCAAGCCATTTGTTCCCTAATCACAGCTGTTTCCTAACCAATCTCCACCTAAACAAAAAAAAAACCAACAACTGAAAACAGATACGGTATGTTCCCAGAAATGCAATCCTATCTTCTACTTTGGAGTTATCATTCCAAGAGCCCAGTGGTTAGTGTAGCTCAGCACAGTTAAATGTCTTGCTCCGTCATCCCAACTAGTTATAAATCTAAATAAACAGAATCATAGAATCCTTAGAGTTGAAGAGACCTCTGAGAGCCAACTAGTCCAAGTCCTCTGCAATAATATAGAAATAAATTAAT